TTAAAGGTATGATGCGAGATAGATTGACCAGGCTTGAGAGGTTGGACCTACACTGAAGGGCATTTGGACACACAAAGTAGATTTGATGGGCCTTAAAAAACAAGACTATATGATATGAGGTGGAGGTATTAATAGGGGTACAGATAGGGGAGGAGGTTTGAATTTGATTAAAATGCATTGTATGAAATTCTTAAAAATCTAATAAAAAACTAAGCTCACAAAGGACATTGGTTTGTAGTGTCCAATTATAATGGCTCGGTTAAATGTTATATATCTGAGAAATGCTAATTTTATGAGGCAAGTTGGGAGATAAAATCCCCTTTCAAACTTTCCAGAAATGTTTGTTTTGAGGTTTATTTATTCATACAGAAAATCTTTCATAAAATTCATCAGCGATGCTATCTGGCTATGGAGTTCCTGTCTGAAAAATATTACTTAAGCTTTACATTCCATTTGTTTATGAGATATAGGACTCTGCTGACTTCCTGTGCATGTTGGTAGTTTGTCTTCTAAGGAAATTGCCCATTTTATCAAAGTGCAAAGGTTATTGCACAATGCTGTCCATATTGTTCTTACAGAGTCCTTTAAATGTCTGGAGAATCCATAGTCCTGATTTCTTTAGTCATTCCCAGAATTGAACTGTTTGTTATCTTTAGGTTTCCAGCAAGTTTGGAAAGAAAATTTAAATTCGTATTGATTTTCTTAAGAAAATGGATTTTGTTTTCAACACTTTTAAATTTTTACTCTTTTATAATCCACTCATTTCTGCTTCATCCTTATTATTTCTTCTATCCTAAGTCCTTTGGGAGAGATTTTTCCAGACACTTCATGTGTGTGTTGCATATGCAGGTATCTATGTACTTGTTATGTGCATTTTCTCAAAATCAAATTTAAAAATAGGTTTATTAAATTATTTGAGAGTTTCATACAATATATTGATATTTCCCCTTCCACCAACTCCTTCCAGATTCACTGCGACCTTTCTACCTATCCAACTTCCTGTTTGTTTCCTCACCATGTCCAATTTGTGCGGCATACTCTTTTGAGTGTGGAAACAGCCCTGGAGTGTGGCCACATGAGACCTGCTCAAGCTCAAGGCCAGATTTTTAAGGATAAGCTTTTAAATAAATGGTGCTCAGGAATGTTGTGATTTGTGCAAACCTGCAAACCTTATTGCCATTGCAAGAGATGCTGTTTACAACATGCTTCAGATGTGCTAAGCAGGGTGCTCAGCACTATGTCCACATCTCATTCTCTTTTCCTATACATATGAAGAACTGCTCTATCTTCTCCCATCCAAGAGATGGACATCTATAGCTTTGGTTTGTTAATAATTATTACTTTTGTCCATTCTTACTCCCATGGATGGTGCCAGAGCTGAAGCTGTTTTACTCCTACTCCAAAGTTGTGAGCATTAGCCTATTATGGCTTTGAGGCAGATTTCTTAATTTTTAGTTCCTTAGAACTTTTTTTTAAATCATCTCAAATAATTCAACAATTCACAGCTTATCTCTATTTTAAAATGGACAAATTGATCGAAAGATTTGGGAACACTGCTCTTTGTTATCACTACTGTTCCTTGTGTTATTGTTCATGAACACAAGGACTTTTGGTTGCAATGTGTGCTGGGTGACATTAGTGCTATTAAGTTGATAACAAGGGTATTATGTAAAGACATGTCACTTTTTTTTTTTTTTTTTGGTCTTTTTGAAACAGGGTCTCCCTGTAGCCCTATCTGGCCTGGATTTGCTATGGAGACCAGGCTGCCTCAAACTCACAGAGGCCTGCCTCAGCCTCCCGAGCGGTAGGATTAAAGGCATGCGCCACCACGCCCGGCGAAATGACGCTTTTATGGAAATTCACAATTCATTTTCATTTCATCATCAGTTGTTTTATATAAGGATTCCTTTCTTAGCTCTCTCTATATAAAATCCCAGCCCCAGGCCACCCTCCAACATCCAACAAATCATATTTCTCATCCCTTCTTCGGTTTATCTCTTAGACACTAATGATTAACATATTAATAAATTTTATCACTCCAGTGTATCATATATCTATTTCACTAAAATATACACTTCATAAGAATAGTTTTGTCTCTCATTATTATATGTCCACTGTTGAGTGAACTTAATACTGATTGAATTAATTCATTTATGTTCATACACTGTTCTTAGGATTCATGATATTTCAATGACTTGTTCAATTTACCGAGCAGGACTATCTGAAACTAAGTTTTTACAGAAGAGTTAGGACCTGTAGCTATTCTCTCTGTTGCTGGATACATACTGTCTGCCACCAGAGGGCACAACCTATAAAGGAAGATAATTTTACAGAAGAAGCCACTGTGTCAGCAATGTGGAAGAAGAGTGCACATGTATGATAGCTTCACCCTTTCTCTTTAGAGTGCCACCAACTTTTCAGTCTGCTACTTTAGATAGGGATGATGAAGATGTAGTACAGTGATACATAACAGCACAAGCTGTGGTCTCAGGATGCTGGGTTCAGGGCTCAGCAATCTCACTTATTGGTTACTATAAATATTAGACTATTAAGCTATGCAAAGATGGTTTTATGGGATTTACATCTTTTAACCCTTCTACAATGTATTTAAATCTATTGTGCATAAGAAGCTAGAAGTATATTTACTGTGGAGTTTATAACTTTTATCTAAGTTGCTAATGTGTAGAAGTTCTTATATTTCCCTAAGCATCAACGACAGTGATACAATCAAATTAAAAATATTTTCAATGCGGGCCAGGTGTGGCGGCACACAACTTTAATCCCAGCACTTGGGAGGCAGAGGCAGGCAGATCTCTGTGAGTTCAAGGCCAGCCTGGTCTACATAGTGAGTTGCAGGACAGCTGGGGCTACAGGGACAGCCTATCTCAGAAAGACCAAATATGTATAATTTTTTTTCAATGCAATTCTTTGTTTTGGTTAAAATTTCTTTAAGCGTTTCTAGAATTTTAATATTTTTTAAATTCTAAATAGTTCTAACCCTTTTTATTTATACTAGTAACTAAAAATACATCACGTTTTTGCTGATATAAATACCTATGTGCCTGTCGCACAGCAACGTGATTTCTCTAGCTTATGCCTTATTCATCTTTGTATCCTCAACACTTGAAAAGTGCTAGTTATAGGTCTATCCTGAAATGCTTGTAACTATAAATCACAACAGACTTTCATGAGAAAAATATAAGGAAAGACAAAGTAGAAACTTAAAGCAATAATATACTTCAAAACATTTGAAAAACAGCCACTCATGAGTTCTTTAAATTTCTTCATCCTCCTAAGTCACCAATCACAGTATCCTGTCATTGTATAGCTATCTGATCATTCTTAAGGTGACTAGCTACATTTCTCTGTGCCTGTCATCTGCATGACCTGTTTCTCGCATGTATAGTTCTACTATGCTTCCTGATCAGGCCTGTCTTAATTAGCATCATCATTTAGTTATTTTCTACCATATCATTCTGTTTGATGAGAACTGTCCCCCTAATCTGGAAGCTATCGTATCAAAGTACTGGAGTTAACTGGTACAGAAACAAGCTCAATAGATAGATTGAAAAGAGATAAATTAAAATTTTAGGAAAAAGAAAATAGACAGTGGAAAGCACGTAATAGAGATGTTGCTGCTAATTTTTTCCTTACATAATCCCAGCAAAATACCCAAAGAATCTTTGTGAACAAACGTGTAAAGACGCTCATTACTGCTTTTGTGTGTACTGATTTTTTTTCCATTCATATTTTTGTTCGTTTGTTTTGATTTGTTTTTGATTTTACTTTTTTGGTCATTTCTTGTTTCTGTCATTTTGAAATCTTTACTAACAAGGTCAGGTCTCTAAATATCTTTAAAGTTCCTGCAAATGTATAAAATAGACCCAATGCCAAGAAGATGGTTCTGAGCATGGTCCTGGCTTTTTTTGCAAGTTAGATCAGAGTATAAATACATGTGGAAAAAACAAAATCCCGTTAATGCTTGATACAGACATCTGGCTTATTGACAAAGGTATAGCACTCTAGTGGTTCTGAAACAACGCAGACTATCACAGACAAACTCAATTTTACATTATAGAATTTGATATTATTCTCATAATTTAACAACTTCTTACACACTGGGGTGTGAGTGTGTGTGTGTGTGTGTGTGTGTGTATGTGTGTGTGTGTCGATGGAAAACAAACTTTCAATTCAAAGTTCAAAATTACTTTTCAGCTACTATAGACTATGCTAAATTAATTTCACTAGTACTTTGGTCAAAAATAGTGTTTTAAATATTTTACATTAAACGTTAAAAAGGCATAAATGATTTTACTATAATAGTTTATTTAAAAATAATATATGTGGTTTAAATAAAAATATGAGTGGCCTCTTCTATTTCTTGGAAAGAAAATTTCACACCTTTATCTCCAATTTTAACTATAAAAATATTAAACAACTTCAACAAAAACTTAGTCTTCAATTATCATTTATTTAGAAACTCATTTATTTATTAAGTGATATTTGTATTTTCAAACAAACTCATCAGACAATAATGTCTATGATTGTGAAAATTGTCACTGCACTTCCTGATCAGAGTTCTTTGAGCGCTCTCATTTTAAAGTTACTTGAAAACAAACTTGTGTAGCACTTGCAGTTCAGATCCATAAACACTTCCGAGTTTCATTAAGAAACACAATTTTACTTTGTGAAGTAATACTTCATTCAAAAAAAAGTTAAAGCCACTCTACTTCAGTAAATGAAAAACTAATAAATTTGCTATGAATGAATAAAAATATTTTTTGAAAATGTAAAATATGTATAATTCCCAATTTAACAGTCAGTTTTGCATGCAATAGGACTCTAATAAAGATTTTAAATAAGCATCAAAATGACCAACCAATTGGTAAAATGCATCACTTAGAGGAAAAAAAAAACTTCACAGTAAATTACTTGGTGTAATATGTGCATACTACAGAATTCTCAGTTCAGAGTTTAAAAATAAAGAGAAACGTAATTACCCTAAAAGACATTTCAAGATTCTCTCCACCCCAGATATCCATTCCTGCATCGTAAGTTCCTATCTCTTCAAAGTAGTTTCTGTCAATAGAAAATAGGCCACCAGCCATAGTAGGGGTCCTAGTTGAAAACAAAACAAAACAAAAGAATATCTTTGAAAACAATGTGTGGAGTTTAATGATACTACAGCAAATATTTTTGACATCTTAAATATAAAAATATTCCTCAAAAATTCAAGCTGGAAACACAATGTGAAGATGTGAGAGATTTAAAATATAAAAATTACATTTTACTTCACTCTGTAAACTCAGATTACATAGTTTTTCTTATAGGTGATCAAACAGAAACATAGCAGAAGCCCTGCCCACTTAGCAGCTGGGTCTTCTACACCCCGAAGGCAGAAGGCAGGAAGGCCACACCCTTTACACGGTCCTTAAAGAGATGAGGTGGTCACAAAGCCATCAATTTGGATCTTGGACACAAAACTATAATCATTTTAATACAAACTCTAGGACTCTGGGAACATGTTGTCTCTATGAAGAGCCACCGCCTATTAAATAGGAAAGTATTAGCTGCTACGAAAATGTTGTAGGTAGTCTCTAACGACAGTAACAAAAGTATTTTAAACAAAGAAGCTTTGCATCTGATTAATTATTTTTCTTTGCCTAATTAAAAAGACAGAATTACTCTTTGACCCTAATGATACCACAAATTCCATATATGAATTTGAGGTTTAGAGGAATTTTTTGGCATGTATTCTAAAATTTTTTCCCCTAGAATAAATGTGTGTTTGTTTCTCATGTTCTGATGTTCTCTATAGGAATAAAAAAAATCTAATTCTAACTTTTCAAGGTTTTAATTAATTTTAAATAAGTAATTACATAGAATGCTTAATGCAGCAGTCTTACTATATATGCAACAGGAAATTAAAATAAAAAGAAATATTTTGATTGCAAATTGATGAAACCATACAGGCTGTGAGGAAGTTGAATTGCTACCTCGGTGTAGCACGTCCTGCCTCTGTCACATGCTACCAGCATCTGAGGTTTCTTTCTTCCTTAATATTTATTTAATTAATTTGAGGCATAGTCTCAGTTTGTTGCTCAAACTTTTGTTTTGAATTTGGAGCTCACAATTTGTCTGCCTGGCCTGGAGTTCCAATTGTCTTGTCTCTTCTCCTAGTGCTGAGATTGAAGGCATGGACCACCACATGACCCTAAGAGGATCTTTCAGGAATTATAGTCACCCTCCACTGAGACTGAGAGCCTATTGACCTGGGGAGGGTACCAACTGGTATGTGGAAATTTCCCTGCTGATTCAAATTTTCTGCCATAGAAGAAAAGTACTGAGCAAGTCATTTCGATATGGAATGCACATGCTTCCATTCTGTGAGATTGTAAAAACAAAACAAAATCCTTTGTTTTCTAGAAATTATATCCTCCTCTGCTAAAGATTATACTAATGTGTTCTCATTAAACAGTGTTGTTTGTTGTAAACCTACCATTTATTATTGTACTTGGGCATCAGCCATCATGCGAAACTCTCTATTTCTCTGTATTTTCACCGTCTTATCATGTTATTAGCTGTCCATCGATGCAGTAGCAGAGCCTTGTTTAGTCTCAGAGGTGTTTTATCACTTCTAATCTTGCTGGGTTCTTATCATGAGCAGTATACTGACCTTCTGAGTTATAATGAGGAACACTTATAAAGCTAAACAGATGGTAATTATAAAGTATCTGTGACCTCACCTGATTGGGGTTTTGGAACTCTTTGGCAATAACTATATAAGGTATTACAGTGCAACAGAGTCTATTTAATAAAATTAGCAACAAAAATTGCTGCAATTATCCTATCACAATGCAACCAAATGCATGAAAATGTTTAGGGGATGCATTTTTAATGATCAGTTCAGAGAGCATAGCTACTTATCTGCTTCCTGATAAAGTACTTACACGTTTTAAGTACATGTATTAAATTTCAATATATAGTTGGTCATCATTCCTATAACTATGTAAAAAATTAGAATAGCTAAAATAAACTATATATAATTATAAGGATGACTCAGATAACATATTTGAAAAGTGGCAAACACTAAAATCAGAATAACGATTCCTAAAAATTTTATATCTTCTGAAGAGAGAAGCTCTCAGAAAGATTTGATTTATATTTGCATAACATTATCAGTTAGCTTGTTCATATAATTGAGTGACTATACTTTACAATATTCAATACTATAAACACAGCTCATGTTGTAGAATGTGTTCATTTTAAGTTAAATGCTCCTAATATGCCCAGTGAGCGATATACTCAGGTATGTACACCTTCAGTGTTCAGAATACCCAGAAAATGTAAAAGCCTGATTATCATTGAATATCTGAGATTATTTGCTTTTCAAGGTATGTGCACACAGTATGGAAACTACCAACCAAAGCAATCAACATGATGTGGTTAATAATAATCCCAGTGGTAGTGAATGCTTCATATTGCATAGGTAAGTGAAGATGAACTGAGGTAACAGAAGTAAAGCACTCAGCACGGTGCTCAGCACCTAATGAACCATAAATAAGATTAGCTATGTATCTTTGCTATTATTGTCATCTGATAGTCACCATTCAAACAAAATCCTTAAATGACGTTCAGTTAACCGTGGCTTAGCATATATAAACCCCCCTTATGGGTTATTCTCTATAGTAGCTCTGAAATATGACTCTTGAACACTAATTTCTATTTGTAACCAATCATCTTTTAGATCATGAGTCACTTTTCATCCTCTGTTGGAAGTGAGGGATTCTCAGTAAAACTGTATTCTCTCACTAATTTCTGGATTTTTTTTTCCTCCTCCTTCTTTGCCCTCTGCAGAGTTCCACCACATTAATAAAAACTATTAGTTGTTTGTTCTTATTTTGATGGAACCAGTTTTCTCTCTACAATTCTAGTGCCTAGATAAATTTACAGTTTTGCTTCCTCTACTTCTGATACTAAGACTTAGAGAATCCCTGGAAAACAATGAGATGAGGCCAACTAGTTATGCAAGTTCAACCTACACACTATCTGCTTAATTCACAAACTATATTTTCATCTCTACTTATTTGTTCATCTTTCCTATTTTCCTTTTAAATATTTTATTTAGTATTTTATTTTATGTGTATAAGTGTATTGCCTGCATGGAGGTAGGTGCACCCATGTCCTGCAATGCCTGTGGAGGTCAGAGGAGGTCAGAAGAGGCTTTCAGATCCCTGGAACTAGAATTACAGATGGTTGTTAGCTACCATGTGGGTGCTGGGAACCAGTCCTCTGCAAGAGCAGCCACTGCTCTTAACTGCTGAGCCATCTCTCCAGCCCCCATCTGTCTTATTATTTTTAAAAAATATATTTTATTAGTTTTATTTTCTGTGTATGAGTGCACTGACTGCATGTGTGTATGTGCACGTTTGTCGTGCAATGTGGGTGGAAGCCAGAAGAGGGCACTGGATCCCCTGGAACTGGAGTTAGAACAGCGGTTTGGGTGCTGGGATTCAAACCCAGGTCCTCTGCAAGAGTAGACAATGCTCCTAACGGCTGAGCCATCTCTCCAGCCCCTTTTTTTTTTTTTTTTTTTTTCAAATGAATCTTTTCTAGAAGTTTTGGATGCTTCTCAAATGCCTGAGAAGCAGAACAATGCACAATCCAAAAACCCCCAATCACGAAATGTAAACTCCCTCAAGCTCTCCTTGAACATGTTTATGGATCTTCCCCATATCACCTTCTTCCCTCTTCTTTCCAGGGGAGGGCATCTTTCCTGTTATTATAGGCTAGCATTCACACAATGAGCTCAGCTGTCTCTCCTGACTACTTTCAGCCCATTGTTCACTTCCTGTTACATTTATGTTTCCTGTCTTGGATTTCTAGATAGTCTCCTTGAGCTTACAAACCTCCTCAATTAAATTTATCCCAAATCAAAATGAATTTTCACCCCATCTCACAACTCACTCATATAGGGACTTACATTTCCCGCTGCCTTCACTGGGCCCCTTATTGAAAGGATACTTTTGGCATAGTCCCTCAACTCCTTTGAGGTAGAAGCTGGATCTGATCCCCACTTCTGCAATACCGTCTTTCTGATAGGTCCCCAAAGATTCTGAACTCAAGCAGCCTTTCTTTAACGTCTTTCACTGAAAGCATTTAGCACAATTCATCAGCCCGCTTGCTTAAACCTCTTTCCTCTCTAGCTCACTGCGTTGTTCTAAAGGGCTTCACTCTACTGACTTGACTGTTCGTTTTATGAGTATCATTGATAACTCTTCCTCTTTCTTTATATGGCTGCAACCTGAGTTTGAAGAAGTGCTTAGATTAGAATCCGTCACGAGTAAAATATAGAACTATAATTTTTTGTGGTGCTTTCATTTAATAATTATCATGTCTTGTCTGGAATGCAGCCCTTCTAAGGTTCTTCCTGGGCCCCGAAGTCTTCGGTGGTGTGCTTTAGTTTTTGTGACGTTGTTCATCATATGCTGTTACCTGTGAGGCTGCCTCCTAATCTGTTTCCGCTCTTCCTTCTGTACCCATTGCACCTTCCTAACTACTCACTACGTGTTTCCTTCAAAAAAAAAATCCTCTAAGCTAATATTTTTAATACTAAAATAGCATGATTTTTAAATTATTAAGTTTAAGTAATAACATGACTCAGCTATTACAAATTGACATAAACAGAATGGAATATTTTTATTTGCAGAAATATTGAGGTAAGAAGTTCTGAAATCTTCAACTGTTTTTGTAATATTTTTATTGATTATTTGAGAATTCCTTACAATGTATTTTGATCATATCTAGAACCCTTTCCCTTCTCAGATCCAACCCATCTCCCTGCCATCCCCACTTCAAATTCTTTATTATTATTACTTATTTATTTGTTTATTTATTTATTTATTTATTTATTTATTTATTTATTTATTTGGTCTTTTTGAGACAGGGTCTCCCTGTAGCCCCAGCTGTCCTGGAACTCACTATGTAGACCAGGCTGGCCTTGAACTCACAGAGATCCACCTGTCTCTGCCTCTTGAGTGCTGGGATTAAAGGCGTGCACCACCACACCTGGCTTTCTTTATTATATTTTAAGGCCTACTGAGTCTAATTTGTTTCCC